TTTGGACGTTACAATTATCATTTATTATTTATTATATTATTTATGGCATCAAGCGTGTACAGTGGCAGTAATGACAGAGCATGCACTGTTACGCAAAAACCGCGATAGAGTGAAGCCACGGAAGTCGAAGCGCGAAGTGGCGAGGGTTCACTCTAATCCTATCACAGACAGCACTGTACTTCCAGACAGATCTTGAAATGCCCTTTTGGATGATGAATGCAACGCCTTCCTCTGCCCTCCCCAGCATGCTAAGTCATGCCTTTCTGATTCAAATGGCCAAGACCAGGCCATCTCACCTCACTACCGCCTAGGCTTTCTATCTCTATGTGTTCCACTTCATTTCTGACGATCTCCAAATTTCCTCAATTATTAGAATTTTGCAGCAGTCTGTTCCCATCGTGAGTCACGTCCTGTCAGTACATGAAGGTCCCGGAGCTTTATTCCCAGACTTGACTTGATTCACGTCATGATAGGCGGCTTTACTTTGATGAGGCAGCTCTTCCTCAGTCCTATTTCCAGTCCCTTCCAGCCCGAGGGGCTCCTCCTCTGGCCTGTCTCTGACAATGTTCTGCTTCTGGTCATTATGCTACTACAATGTATAGTAAAGTGACCAGACGTCCCGATTTTTAACAATTTTTCCCCGCACCCCGCGGCGTTTTAAAAAAGTCCCGATTTTTGGAAAGAATGCACGACAAGCTAGGGTATACGGTTTTCGGCTGCCATGTGGCTATTTTGCCAGGATATGAGTTTTATCAATGGTGTCCCACTTTACCCATGTTAAAATCTGGTCACCTTAGTATATGACAATGTTTCCATGCTAGGGTTGTCAGTGGTCAATGCCTCCAAACTGGACAGCTGATTCCTGTTCTCAGTCTGGCAGCTCCTCTGAAACTTGGTTCATGTGGGGAACCGAGCTGGTGTTTGAAATGCCAGTGCCATTGCTTGTAGCATCACAGTCACACACAAGCCACCACACATGACAAACTGACAGACAAGTGGTGGTCTGGGAAGAGTACAGCCTTGGAAACCTAGGGGTCAGTTCTACTTTGTCCTAGAGGGTGACTATGAATTGGAATTGCCTCGAAGGCATTGGGCTTAAAATCGAGAAATGTGTGCATCCAGATTGTATCCTGTAGTGATACTTTTCAATTTACACACTGAGCCAATATCGGACAAAGGGAACTCGATGAAGTTCATGGCACCAGGGATAGAGGATGGCTCAGCAGCAGCCTGCAATGTGCCTACGACACAACCTTACTTGCTGAAAGAAGATGTGGACCACTTACTGATGAAGATCAAAACTACAATTTTTCAGTGTGGATTATGCCCCTGCATAAAGAAAACAAGAATCCTCACAACTGGACCAATTGACATCATGATAAATGGAATCAATATTAAATTTGTCAGGGATTTCACTGTACTTGGATCCACAATCAATATCCACGGAAGCAGTTGTCAAGCAATCAAATGGTGTATTGCTTTGAGCAAAGAGCTCTTTAAAGCTTTAAGAAGCAAAGATGAAAGGTAGGGAGAGGAGGGGAGGACGGGGGAACCGATCTGATCGAGGTGATAGACACATAACCACACACACACACCCGTCCAGGGGGACGAACAACCTCGGGGGAAGGGAGACAGCGGTCAGTGTCAGATATGGAAATTATAACTTATAATTTATCAAGGGGTCATTAGGGTGGGGGTGGGGAGGGAAGGGAAAAAGAGGAGCTGATACCAAGGGCTCAATAGAAAGTAAATGTCTAGAAAATAATGATGACAACAGATGTATAAATATGCTTGGTACAATTGATACATGGATTGTTATAATAGCTGTAAGAGACCCCAATAAAATTATCTTTAAGTTAAAAAAAAATAAGCAAAGATGTTACTTGGAGGACTAAAGCACACCTGAGCCAACAGCCATGGTATTCTCAATCGCCTCATGTGCAGGTGAAAGAGGGGCCAAGAGGAAGGCAGGCAGCAGACCACAGAGACCAGTCTGTCATGCATGAAGGACAGCCGGTTTGATCCTGGAATCGAGGATGATGAGACTTGGGGCGTGTTGTCAGGAGGGCCCAGCTCCTGTTGAAGGACTTTATGCTTTAGGGAGGGTTGGAGAGCGCGTGGAAGACCCTTCAGGAGGTGGATTGTCCCTGTGGTCACAACCAGGGGCTCACCCAGAGCAAGGATTTCGAGGTGCGGTTGTGCTTGGAGTCCCTGGGTAGAAACTGACTCGATGGCCGTGGGTTTATTAAGGAAAAGTATTGACTATTTGTCAATGACAGCACCAGGGCTCCCATGAGATAACTACTGTTCTTTATTCAGACGGATTTTGGAACACTCAGGTTGCTGATTAAAAAAATAAATCAAACCCACGGTTCTCGAATGGCTTTGGACTTCTAGGGATAGGGTTTTTCAAGGCTGTCAATATTTATGGTGGCTGGCAGGTTTGAACCTGGAACCTTGAGGCGATCAGTCCAACGCTTACCCAAAAGTGCCACCAGGGCTCCTAATTTTGGTGATAGAATTCTAAACAGTCAACAGTGGCTTTTGCAGGTCACCCTACAGTTACACAGATGAATGGAATTTCTAATAAGGCGTTCTGTATTTTACGGCTGTTTGTAAACTGCGTGCTAGGCATCTTTTACGTCGGTAACATAATAAACGGTCCACCTGTAGACCGCTGGTCCAGGCACGGA